TCCGAGGCTGCCACCATGATGGGCTGGTTGGTTGCCCCGACTCCGATAGCTTTTGCAATCGCACTGTTGCTGGATAGTCACGGATACCCCTTTGCCTACTAGACGGAGTTTGCGACAAATGGACCAGGCGGCTTTCGATTGACTCATGCAGCAACTGGCGGAGATGCAGAGCAGCATGAAGGTGTTAACGACGGAAGTGGAACAATTACGGGAGGAAAACTCTGAGCTACGCCATGCCCAAGGTGAAGCGCGCCAGAAATCGCCCGTTGACAAAGGCGAGGGCAACAGTCAAGCGGTGAGCAATCCGTTGGAAGACCTCACACGCGAATTCGAAGAAGAAGACAGGCACCGAGCATCAGCGGCGACATTTGCAGTAACGACAATTAAGATTAAACCCGCAAGCCCGCCCCCGTTCAATTCCACGGACAAGAACACTACGGTAAAGGGGTGGCTCTTCAGCGTTGAAGTCATCTTCACTGAAGTGAACTTTAAGGACGATGCCCCGCGTATACATTCTGCAGTGTCTCCTCTACGAGGCCCAGCGCTCAAATGGTGGCACCGAACCTTGGACACGGGGACCCTGACAGGTGTGACACCTGCAGCAGACGGGACCTCAACTTCGGCAAATCAAAGGGCATCATCGATATTCGGCGTGACCACAATTCGCACGTGGAAGGAGTGGGGCGCAGCCTTACGGGATCGCTTTGAGCATGTATCCACCTGGGAGGAAGCTCGAAAGAAGCTGCGTGCCTGGTCGCATCTAGCTTCTATTCAAGACTACACTACGTCGTTTATAGTATGAGCGAAGGCATGAGCGGATACTTATGTGCGAAACATGCAACGGTTACGCAGTGCGTGCGCGCTAGCTAGTGCTAGGCTGACATTGAGGTTCGGGCTAGTCCCGAAGCGTAGGCCGACTCGGCCAGGCCAGCGGTGCATGGTTTGGTAAAATAGTGCGCGCGAAGTTGGCAAAGCCCCATTAGCAGTAACGGGCGAATAACGGCTGCTGCTGTACGCGATGTTGAAGAACGCGGTAAGGAAATGTTCCTTACAACATGACATGGTATGCACACTAGAAGCAGCCATGTGAGACAGGCACAAGCTACCGTAAGCCAATGTCGGGCTGCTGGAATGCTCTAACGGAGCATTCCTACCCAGCGGAAAACACTTCAGTGGTACACATACACTCCATGTACCGGTTCCTGGGCGAGTCACAAGTGAGTATGAATGACCTGAAATACAATTTGGTTAGTGGCAGATGCGTGTCGGAAACTCACCACCTTCCCTCATGCTCTTGTGTGCCTCTCTCTCATACTCCTGCTTCTCCTCCTCTTGTGGTTGTCAGGAACTCACTCACCACTTGCATCACTCTAGGACCTCTCCCTGCATCCTTCCTTCCCCACTCTGCCTCCCTTGATGTGCTCTTCCTGTTACTTCTCTTGATGAGCTCTCTGCTCCTTCACATACTATGGCTTCCTAGGTCTTGCTAGTCATATCTCCCTAATGTTACTGCTTGCTCGGATTGCCACAAAACACTTGTAAAAAAAGGGAAACATACAAGCAATGAGGTTAGCTACAACAAGGATCTGCCTATACTACCAGCTCTGCATCCTCCTTTCCCGTCCCGTCATCCCCTAGTCTGTTCTCTAGCAGCTATTGCTACCTTCGAGTAGACTTGCATCCACGCTGCTCTACGCCTCTCTTCCCCGCCTCAAGCTACTTTGCCTCCAGCTGACACTGCCCTGATCCAGCTGGCTCCTTGGAGCACGCCTGCACACACATGGAAGCAAACACGCATGCACACGAACACCCATCCAAGCACAGGTGGTAACACCCCCCCTTCCCGTGCCGCTGCCGAACACTGTAATTCCCACCCGCACACACTCTCCACTTACGTAAGGCCCGCCCAGTTCAATTCCCATGCAAGTACTCAACCCTTCGTTTCGGCAGACGTCTACCACCTTCTCACCCCTCGCTCTCCTCGCTCTCCCAACGGCCACCTGACCCTTCGCCTTCCATCCTCGATACTCACACAGCTCGCTATGTACAATATGTACAATTTGTACATCCCCCGAACTCTTCCCACTACACCCTTCACATTCATGCAAATGTGACAGCTGTCGGAAACTCACCACCTTCCCTCATGCTCTTGTGTGCCTCTCTCTCATACTCCTGCTTCTCCTCCTCTTGTGGTTGTCAGGAACTCACTCACCACTTGCATCACTCTAGGATCTCTTGCCCCCTCCCATGACCAGCTACTGACGTCCTCGCCCTGGTCATGGGACCAGTGTAAGCCGCTGTCTTCTTCTGCTTCCCCGCGTGGGCCACGTTAGTGACATGATCCATGACCCGTTTCCCTTGTGCATCTTCCAGCACCAGCACACCTGACTCGCGCACCTCCTTCACCTCCCACCTCTGCTGAGACACTCCCACATCCAGCCCATCCCGCTTTGCCCGTCGCACGTACACATCCTGTCCCTCCTCCACTACGGGCTGCTTTCCCTGCATCTTGCCTAACTGCCGCTGCTTGTAGCAATGGATGTCACGCAGCTGCGCTACCTTCAAGCTCTCCATTGCGGCAGGTAGCATCTGCTTCAGATACCTGGCTCTGGCATCAGCCAGTGCCACCCACTTCTCAGCATTCCCCGCTGTCACGCTGTCTGCCAGCAGGCGCGGTGCATCTACTGGCAGGATGGGCTGCTTTCCAAAGAGCAGGTAGTATGTGGAGACGTCCTTCAGCGAGGCTTGCTTGCTGAACCTGTACCCTGCCATCACCCACGCCAGCTTTCTGTCCCAATCCCCTTTGTTTGCCTCCCCATAGGCTCGCAGTCCCTTCTTCACCGTCTGTACCAGCCGTTCCGTGAGCCCATCACTCTGGGGGTGATACCTGGATGTGGTGCGGTGCTGGATGCCATTGGAAGCCAGCAGCTCCTTGAATTCCCCTTGGAATTCAGTCCCTTGGTCTGTCAGCACCTCACCACACGCCCCGAACCGCGTCAGCACCATTTCTTCGAATCTTCTGCCACTGCTCCTGCCGTCTTCGCCACCAGCAGTCTCGCCTCTGCCCACTTGCTCACGTGCTCAATCATGAGCAGAACGTACCTCCTGCCCCTTCGTGATACTCGCAGCTCTCCTGCGATATCTAAGGACCAGCGGTAACCTAGCTCCACGATGTTCAGAGGCTGGAGCTCCGCCTGGCTCTTCAGCAGGCTGGCTTTGTTCGTGCAGCATAACTCGCAATTCTCCACCCACTCCTTCACTTCCTTATGCATCCCTGCCAACCACCACCCAGTCTGCAGCAGCTGCTGCGTCCTCAAGGGCCCATAGTGACCCAGCTTGTTGTGGACCTCTCGTATGATGCTCTCCCTTTTAGCTGGCGCCGGCACCCTTCTCCAACCATCCTTCGTCTGCAGCTGCACCTGTCCCTGAAACCACCTGTAATGTTGCCCCCGAGCTCTAACCCTTGCACCTGCTCCCCCATCCTCCGCCGTTTCTCCCTTGATCCACGCCAGGGTTTCCTTGTCCTGCCACACGTCCGCTGCTCCCCTCTGCTGCTCTCCTCCTTGCCCTCTTTCGCTCACCATGGCGGTCAGCGCAGCCGAGGGCGGTGCTTGCTCTGGTCCCGGCTCCTGCCTGCTGCGTGGTGGATTCCTGGAGAGTCCGTCCACGTGCTGCATGGTCTTGCCCGGCCGGTGTTTCACTGTGAAGTCGTATTCTTGTAACTTCATTGCCCACCGCGCGTTCCTGCCCGTCAGTGTCTGGTTGTGCATCAACCACAGCAGTGGCTGATGATCTGTCACCAAGATAAAGTGCCGGCTTTGCAGATACACCCTGAAATGCCCCACTGCCCAAACTGCCGCCAATCCTTCCCCTTCGTAGGACGAGCAGTTGGCCTCCGTGGGGCTACATGTCCTGCTGGAGAAGGCCACCACCTTCTCCACGCCTTTGTCCGTCTGGCTCAGCACTGCTCCCATCCCTATGCTGCTCCAATCGGTGTAGAGCACGAATGGCTCCTGTCCATCTGGCAGCTTCAGCACTGCTCCCGCCTTCACCGCCTCCATGAGACCCCGCAAGGCCTTCTCCTGTGGCTCCTCCCACTGCCACTTCTGCTCTTCCCTGAACAACTTGTTCAATGGAGCTGCCTTCTTGCTGAAGTCCTCTATGAACTTGCGGTAGTAGTTCAGAAACCCCAGCAGTGCTCGCAGACTGGTCCTGTCCTTGGGCCTCTCCACCCTGTCCAAAACCTCTACCTTGGCTTTCTGGATACTAAGCTCCCCTCCTGCCACCTCAAATCCCAAGTATGCAACACTGCCGTGGCCGAAGCGGCACTTCCCCGGATGGCAAGTCACCCCTGCTGCTTCAATTGCTGTCAGCGCCGCATCCACATCTCGCACATGTGCCTCTGCATTCGGGCTGAAGATGATCACATCATCTATGTAGCAGGCCGCGCCACTCACTCCCCTCAACACCGCGTCCATCACTCGTTGAATCACCGCCGACGCATTCCGCAGCCCAAATAGCATGAAGTTCCACTCGTACAGCCCGTCCGGTCCGTGGAAGGCTGTCTTCTTCTTGTCCTCCTCTGCTATCAGTATCTGATTAAAGCCCTGCCCCAGATCCAGTGTTGAGAAGACCCAGCTACCCTGCAGCTGGTCGAATATCTCGTCGGCCATCGGCATAGGGTATCTGTCCGTCGCCGTCACCTTGTTCAGTCCCCTGTAGTCTCCACACATACGGCGGGACAGCACAGTGCCCGTCAGATCTGTCCTCGCTGCTACCATTGTTGCTGCTGCGTAATCTGATGCTGACCGTCGGATCAGCCCTGCTGCCAGCAACTCTTGGCATTTCTCTGTGCATATGCTTATATCCTGCGGGCTCATCCTCCTCCTCCTCTGGTACACTGGTACCTCGCTGGTCAACGGCATGCGCATGGTGCTGCTACATGCTGCCGTAGTACTGCTTCCAGTCGCATCGCCATTTCTCCGTGCATTGCTCCGCCAATGTCCCAGCGCGTTTCCTGTGCTTGTGGCGGTGCTGCTTCCTCCATCCTCCCTAGTCCTCCTCCCGTTTCAGCTTCTCCTGCCGCGCCTGAGCTCTCAGGCAGCTCAGCTGCCCCCACTTCTTCGATTGCTCCTTGCCTCTCCCCCTCATCCTCAACTTCTGCCCTGCTTGCCATGTATGCCCTGCTTGCCATGTATGCCCTGCTGGGTCCCAGAAAGACTTCGTCAGGATCAGGGATCCACCTCTCTGTGGGGTCCTCCTCCTGCTTTGAGTCCCAGTCCATCTCGGGCTCTCCCTCCCACCACTCTTCCTCCTCTTCCTCTTGGTCTGGATAACGGCCCGGGATCCCCTTATGATCATTCAGCCTTTCTGCTCGCTGCTATTGCGGCACTCCCTTTCTCCTCATCTCCCATGCCTCATTCTCCAGATGTTCGAGCAGGATCTCCGCCTCCTCTTCCTTGATCTCATCATCTCGTGTCTTTGGGTCCGCCCTTGCTGCATGATCCCTCCTCCTCTCCAACCGATTCCGCTCTAGGTGGCGACCCATGGTGGCCACCAGCCAATGCAGCGCATTCAAATCCATGGCCTTCCCTAGTGCCCTCCGCCTCTCTTCCTCCGTGACATCCGTGCTCGCGGTTGCCTCTGCCATGAATCCCATCGCCAGGTCAACGAGGCCCTATACTTGAAGGTCGGCAACGACTAAGTGGCATGCTGGGTGCTCGTCTACGTCGACAACTTGCTCGCCGCCATCAGCTGCACCGCGATGCTGGATGAGTTGCGCGAGCTGCTGGAGGCCGTCTTCGAGCTGCACGAGATCAGCCCGGTCAAGAAGTATCTCGGGCTGGAGATTGTGCGAGACCGACCTGTGCGAAAGCTGTGGCTTCACCAGCAGTCCTACGTCGACAAGCTGTGTAGGCGCTTCATCAACGAGGAGCAGACTGGCCGAGTTCCAAAGACGCCGGTCTCCGTCGACGCCTACGCTGAGCAGACGTTCGACGACGAGGAGTTTCAGTCGCGCAAGGAAGAAGAGTACTGGCTGAAGGTCGGCTCGCTCCGGTTCGTGGCCACCATGACAAGGACGGGCATCACCTTCGCGTGCAGCAAGCTGGGGTCCGGCCTGACGGTGAGGAGTGACCAGCACTGGCCGGAGGTCGACCACTACCTCACATGCGTCACTGACACACGTGATGCCGCCCTGGAGTATGGCGGCGGACCAAAGTCGATGTGGTCGGCTACGCGGACGCCGACAACGCAGAACGGCTACGTCTTCTACTTCAGCGGTGCCGCCTTTTCCTGGACGAGCCAGCGCATAAAGTGTGTGACTCTGTCGTCGACAAAATCGGAATACATCGCGACCACCGAAGCCCGCAAGGAGGCTCGCCACCTTTGCTTCCTCCTCGCCGAGTTCCAGCTGCTCGACGCTGGGAGGCTGACAGTCCTGGACGTGGACAACCGGTCGGCCATCACGGTCGCCAAGGCCTTGGGGCTGAAGGGCAACCTCCAGGATATGGAGCGACGATACGTCTGGCTGCAGTAGATGGTGAAGCGCAAGAAGGTTACGGTGCAATACATCCCGACCACCGAGAAGCCGAATTCCTCACGAAGGCGCAACACTTTCCGGCCTTCAACTGGTACTCCATCGCAATCAGCCAAGTGCGTCTAGCCGACGTCGGCGACGGCGGCAACGAGGCGCCATGTCCTTCTACATGGCTGGTGCATCGCACGGCGTGCTGTGCAGTGTGTGCACCCCGACAACGTTATCCCCTTGTATTATATCCTTTGGGTTCGGGGTGGACCTCGTGTACGGGTGCCCAAGCGTGAGTTGGGCAGGGGAGTGTTGACGGGAAATGGCCCTGCCCTCGCTTGGGCGAAGCCTACTTCGCAGTCGGGTGTACGGGAGGTGCAGCTGGCTGCTGTCAGTAGTCACCGCCGACTTCAGGAAGAAAGCCGACACACTTGGTCGACTTCCGCGGGACCACTGCCAGGTCGCCGACGAGGGGAAGTCGGTGGCCTTGTCTTGGGCGATCGACGAAGGAGTTCGTCAACCTGAAGGTGCCGACTTGAGGGCGCCGGGGATATTACCTGGTCGACATGATTACTTGGTCGACAAGGTTACCTGTTCGACATGGTTACCTGGTCGACGATGTTCTGCGGGGTGCGCGAACGTCGCCCAGGAGGTTATGGCGAAGTCGGCCTGCGGGCAGATATCCTGGATCGACGTGGTGCATTGAGCGCAAGTGTCGGCACGTGGCTGACCTGGCACATGAATGATGTGCGGGACGAGGCACGACGTGCTCGACCGTCAACCTGCGTAAGCGCACATACACGTATAGTCACCTGCTATTGCAACGCTGGCAGGCCGCCCTGCTGCAGCGTTTGCAAGCCGCCTTGATGCAGCACTGGCAGGTCACCAACTTGCAGTGTTGGCAAGCCACCTCCCAGCTGTGTTGGCACGGTGTCGACTTTCAGTGCTGGCGGGCCTCCCTTGTGCTATGCTGGAGGTCGTCCTTTCTGTGTGCTAGGTTGCTAGGCCTCTGATGTAATCTAACTTGTCATTGCCTTTTGCATCATTGTGTAATCCCCCTTTGCTATTGAATCTCTTGCCAATTTACCCCGTGAATGCGCAATTAGAGAGAACACAAACAAAGCAACGATAACTCGTACCACCCGTGCCTTCTCACGTAAGTCCAACTCCCGGTGTAGAGTGACACTTCGCACAACCTTCCGTTGTGAGACTTGGAGAGGTAGGTTGGCTGCAACACTTGAAAATTAGTCATCGTAAGTACAGCGTTGCCTTCCAGAAATCGAGATGAGCAACTACCATCTCTCTGGCCTTGGGTGCTTCAGCAACAAAGTTAAAAGGTATGAGCAAAGTGTTGGAAGACTTGATATGAGCTGCAATGATACTAGCCGTCGCAGGATCAACCTCATCGTCGGTGTCATCAATGAGGTACTCATCATCTCTCTCCTCTTCATTCCCCCAAGACAGATTTTGGTTTTGGCTTGTCGATGCAGTCTGGTTGAAAGGAGCATGAGTAGGCTGATCAGTACTCCTTTCTTCCGATCCATCATTAAGCCCTTCGTTCTTCAGCGCAGACGGGCGGTCGGCCAGCGACTCAGGATTAAGAGTGTCACCAAGATCTGCGCATCGCGATGGCGATCCAGCGGCGTAGACGGCGCGGAAGCCATAGGACTCTTCTAAGGAGGAAGTTGTCGCAATGCTAGGAGGATCAGCGCCGTCAGACAGAGAGCCGCGACCAACAGTCTTTCCACCATTCGCATCGTGCAATGATGAACGGCTCTGAGTTGACCAAGGATGTCAGAAGATATAGCTGATATGAGCACAGATAATGTCTTGGTTTTCCACTTGCTCCTCGAGTGACGAAACTTTATAATCCTTGGACTAGTAGTGCAGTAGTTCTCTGCTTATGATGATACCAAGGATAACCTTGGTGATAACATTAGATGCCAAGGCATTGTAGGCAGTCTCACTGCGCTGTGTTGCTCGCTACACCAAGACACGCTGAGCAATGACATAGACCTCACGTTATCTGGACTCCTGGAGTTCCCGGAAACTTCAGAAGCTTGACCAGTGTTCCCATTATGAACACCATTCTGGTAGCCACTTATAGTTGGCTTGAAGAGGAATGTTAGGAAGATTCCTTATCGTGATTTACTGCTTCGCATTCAACCCCACACTTTTGGACTCGCACGTTCGGCCAACATCTACGATTCCGAGGCTGCCACCATGATGGGCTGGTTGGTTGCCCCGACTCCGATAGCTTTTGCAATCGCACTGTTGCTGGATAGTCACGGATACCCCTTTGCCTACTAGACGGAGTTTGCGACAAATGGACCAGGCGGCTTTCGATTGACTCATGCAGCAAGTGGCGGAGATGCAGAGCAGCATGAAGGTGTTAACGACGGAAGTGGAACAATTACGGGAGGAAAACTCTGAGCTACGCCATGCCCAAGGTGAAGCGCGCCAGAAATTGCCCGTTGACAAAGGCGAGGGCAACAGTCAAGCGGTGAGCAATCCGTTGGAAGACCTCACACGCGACTTCGAAGAAGAAGACAGGCACCGAGCATCAGCGGCGACATTTGCAGTAACGACAATTAAGATTAAACCCGCAAGCCCGCCCCCGTTCAATTCCACGGACAAGAACACTACGGTAAAGGGGTGGCTCTTCAGCGTTGAAGTCATCTTCACTGAAGTGAACTTTAAGGACGATGCCCCGCGTATACATTCTGCAGTGTCTCCTCTACGAGGCCCAGCGCTCGAATGGTGGCACCGAACCTTGGACACGGGGACCCTGACAGGTGTGACACCTGCAGCAGACGGGACCTCAACTTCGGCAAATCAAAGGGCATCATCGATATTCGGCGTGACCACAATTCGCACGTGGAAGGAGTGGGGCGCAGCCTTACGGGATCGCTTTGAGCATGTATCCACCTGGGAGGAAGCTCGAAAGAAGCTGCGTGCCTGGTCGCATCTAGCTTCTATTCAAGACTACACTACGTCGTTTATAGTATGAGCGAAGGCATGAGCGGATACTTATGTGCGAAACATGCAACGGTTACGCAGTGCGTGCGCGCTAGCTAGTGCTAGGCTGACATCGAGGTTCGGGCTAGTCCCGAAGCGTAGGCCGACTCGGCCAGGCCAGCGGTGCATGGTTTGGTAAAACAGTGCGCGCGAAGTTGGCAAAGCCCCATTAGCAGTCACGGGCGAATAACGGATGCTGCTGTACGCGATGTTGAAGAACGCGGTAAGGAAATATTCCTTACAACATGACATGGTATGCACACTAGAAGCAGCCATGTGAGACAGGCACAAGCTACCGTAAGCCAATGTCGGGCTGCTGGAATGCTCTAACGGAGCATTCCTACCCAGCGGAAAACACTTCAGTGGTACACATACACTCCATGTACCGGTTCCTGGGCGAGTCACAAGTGAGTATGAATGACCTGAAATACAATTTGGTTAGTGGCAGATGCGTGTCGGAAACTCACCACCTTCCCTCATGCTCTTGTGTGCCTCTCTCTCATACTCCTGCTTCTCCTCCTCTTGTGGTTGTCAGGAACTCACTCACCACTTGCATCACTCTAGGACCTCTCCCTGCATCCTTCTTTCCCCACTCTGCTTCCTTGCTCTCTTTCTGCTGTCCCTCTTTATCTGTGCCTTTCGCTCTGCCTCCCTTGATGTGCTCTTCCTGTTACTTCTCTTGATGAGCTCTCTGCTCCTTCACATACTATGGCTTCCTAGGTCTTGCTAGTCATATCTCCCTAATGTCACTGCTTGCTCGGATTGCCGCAAAACACTTGTAAAAAAAGGGAAACATACAAGCAATGAGGTTAGCTACAACAAGGATCTGCCTATACTACCAGCTCTGCATCCTCCTTTCCCGTCCCGTCATCCCCTAGTCTGTTCTCTAGCAGCTATTGCTACCTTCGAGTAGACTTGC